ACCTTAACCGCACTGACATTTATACGTCCTTGACCGCAGATCGGCGTGGGTACGGGTGCCAACATCGAGCTCTACCCAGCCGGGTACTGACTGACCTTAAGACGACCTTGACCGCAGATCGGCGTCGGCACGGGCGCCAACCTCGAGTTCTACCCGGCCGGGTCCCGGCTGACCTGCGTCGACGCAAACCCGGCGTTCGAGTCGTACTTTCGCGAGCGGTGCGGGGCGGCGGCCAGCCACCTGCGACCGCCGCTACGCTTCCTGGTGGCGGACGCGGGTGACATGCCGGCCGTGGCCAGCGACTCCATGGACGCCGTGGTGGCGACGCTCCTCTTCTGCAACATGGAGCGGGCGGCGCCGGTGCTGAGCGAGGTCAAGCGAGTCCTGGCGCCGGTCAGTACAGCGCCGATGACGGCTCGGCACGGCCGTGGTGCGTGCGTGCGTACGTACGTGGGTGCGTGCGTGCGTGTATTGAGGGCGATCACAACGCTATGGCCCATCTTAGATATCGGCTCACCTAACCTAATTCCAAATGCGGATTTTCCTCCGCATTTTTTCCTCCATAATTTAAGCCACCGTTTCTTGTTCCCAGATGGAGAACATGACAATGTGATAGCGAATTGGCTGTGATGTAGATTTTTGGGGTGGGCAAAACAGAAAGCTAGAACCGCTTTTGAACTAGGGTGGGAGTGAAAAATTCCATCGCAAAAAGACCGTACGGGAGTGAAAAAAATCAATTCACAAAAGATGGAATTTATGAGCTAGTGACTGATGCTTCAGCAAAAAAAAACATCTATTTCATGTTGATATGTACGTAATATCAGAAACCTGACATAACTGTTTTGTTTTTTAACATCTTGGGCCATCACAGTGAAGCAGAATACATTAAAGCATTGTAATTTCATGACAGTGTAATGAGCATAAAGGTTTATTAACACCAATTATTTGATTCTGCACTTTGCACTTCTCTTCCACAGCACTTTTCGCACAAAACAAGAAAATTCAACAAGCATAGAACACTCAAACCAAAACAAAACCTTGGACTCCTACACATCAGCCCACCACCAAGTCAAATGCAGTAGACATACCTCAGCCTTCTGTTAAGATGGGGTCAGGGAAAACAAACATTTCATCACTATTTCTTACAAAATACCAATGCTTATTTCCATGAAAGTAGCCTTACTATGCCCAACCTAAAGAGGCCTTATTTCATGTGATCCTGTCTAGCTTGTTTGTATCACAACAGCAGCTGTGAGATACTGATTCTTGCACGATTCCTATTGCCACTTGCCATGCACTTAACCAACTTAATCTAACTTAGAGTAGCCCATGTGTTGAACATCATCTCAACTCACCTATCTGTTGGCAGCAGCACTTGTGATAATAATTTGATAAAGCTAATTTTTGGCTGATCTCAACTTGCATTTTTATTCAGTTCGTTTGTGTATGCTTGTTGACATCAGACACAGCTGACAACGCACAAATCAAAGCACCTAAAATCACTTTGAACAACTTATTTTGATTGCCATGGTTCACCTATATCACGGGCAATAATGGGTATGGTCCACAAAACAATCTCTCTTCTCCAAAAGTAACATAACTTTTAGTTGACCAGGCTAGTATTGCTGCTTGCCTTTTCAGCTGCAGCAAAGACATCTGTTTAGGCTTGTTTATTCACATATAATGACAAAGTTTTGTTAGGTTCACATTTTAAGTGGGATGGTCTAACTATTTGTTACATACTAATATTTAACTCACATTACAATTGCTACAGAGCTTAGAGTATCCCTGTGTTAAAAAATAAAGTGTATATATACAGTACAGTCATTTGCCAGTCAGCAAACCATGACAACTATAGAAAACATCTGGCTAAAGCAGCCATGAGAGCCACTTCAAGAAATTTGGGGCAAATAAGAATATGAACAAAATAACCCCATTGCATGCCTTGTGGCATCATAATTTGTCTTACGACAAGACTCGCTGGGTTCAAACAGAAAATGGCTAACTCTGATTACCAATCATGTGTTGAAAGCAGGTAAGGTAAGCAATTACTTGGTTCACAGGAGGCTTACTGGCTTCTTCCTGCTCCCCCAGAACAAAAAGTCAGTATCTTTTGCATGGTCTGCTGGCAGAGAGATTCATCCCACTCAGCCCCCAAATATAAATATCAATCATGCCCACCAGCCTACGAGAGTAAAATGCGAAGCAAGTAAGAGGTGTGCATGATAAACATCTCCAGAGGGCAGAATTTCGCCGTCAAACACTTCTGTATCACCTGCGTCAGGTCTGTCCCACAGCTCTGTATGGCAGCATTAGGATAGTCTTGTCAGGTAGCCTGGTGAGTTAGACACTCGAAAGGCTTAAGTTTATCATTATTGAGCACCGCCATGAATCAAGAAAACAGTTAACCGTGGGTTCAACGAGGCAAAAATGGCGGTAAAAATAAGTTCCGTGCTTCAAATTGTCTCCCTCATTCCCTCTGAATTGTTCACTCTTGGGTGATTATCAAACATGTTTGAGCGGATGGCGAATTAACCCAATTTATGCATAAAATTTGTACAAGTTTGCAGTTGAATCATATTGCAGAGAAATTGGTTAGCATTTTAAGCTACAGATAGTACCTGTAAAGGCAATCGAAAAGGAAGAAAGAATAAAGTGGCATCACACTCGTATGATACCAAGAACAACAAAAGTAGTTAAATGAATATGAAGACTGATACTTCTCTAGCAAAACTTTGTAATCATCTGATTTGTCTTGAGATCTGTTAAGATGAATGCTCAAATGGTGATATTCATCATATAAATTTAATTTAAAAGACATTTCTTGAATTTTTCTCTCCTGCATTTCGGGAGTGATACAAATAGTGGTTAAGTTTTCTCGGAAAAAAGAAATACGGGGAGTAAAATTCCCCACCAGGCCCTGCTGGTGTTTGCACCAGGCTCTGCTTTCGTGGTGTGGTGGTGAGACCAAAAAAATAAGCGATGCGTGAAAACCTTGCATTTGGCACACAGCTGCCGATCGTAATCCATTCTGCAAACAATCCAAACTTAATGCGTGCAAGCGGCTGGAGTCGCTGGGGTTCTTGGGCTTGAAGGTACCTGGCGCCCTTGATCTGTGCGAACGCAGACACGAGGCAGGACATCGCCATATGTGTCCAGGTTCTGGGGAGCCTCGTTTATACTTGGTGGTTTCAAGTGAGCTCGATTTTGGATGACATCTGAAAACCCCAGAAAGGGAAATAGGTGTTTGGCATGTGCAAGTAGACGAAGTCAGGTAGGAGTGAAAAATCACATAAAATATGGGAAAAAGGAGTGGAAAATTTCTCCTCATAGGGTGTTGCTTTATAACCAAAGTTGGCAATTCTAGGACACTGGGGCAAAATCTATTGTTTCAAGGAATACAGAAAATTATTAAAAATCTCCCCATCGCCTTAAAATCAACATGCGGAAAATCTGAGACCCATCCGATCAGCGTAGGTATGGGCGGCGCAGCGCTGGATAAAGCCGTGCAGCATTCGTCAGGCGTTGCAGTCTCCCGTGATGTGCCGCTGCAGTCGGTACACAACACCAGGCAAAACCCACTGCGCGATCATTGCGACGCTGTAGGCAGTGCCTCATCTAGGAAATCGCAAAATCGGGACCATCCAAAGTGATGAGGGGTCTGGCCCGATAAAGAATCGTACTCCTCCCGCCGCGCTGCCCTCTAACTTTACTTTACGCAGTTTCTCACTTTCGACACGTTACTTGCCGAAGGTCGTTCAGCTGAAAACTTAAGAGAAACGTTCTACCTCCAACGGAGCAGGAACAACGTTGATAGTTGTCAGCATAACAACCCTGAATTCGGAATGTCGAAAAACTAGGAGCTCTATTTCATTCTTGCTTGTGTCAGTAGCCGCAACAAGGATCTAGAGCATGGTGTTTTTAGGCGTTTGAGCTTTTGTTTCGCGCGACCACCGCACGTTTTGTCGGGATGCTGTTGTCAGGCCGTAACAGCCGGCTCGGTGTCGGCGTCAGAGAAAGGAAACGGAATGTGTGTTAGTCATTTGCTGTCGTTGGCTAAAACTAGCCGTGGCAGTCCTTGTGCTGAATGCCAGAACACCACACCCCAGCGGCAAGCTGATCAGCTGATCACCGTCGTACGGCTGGCGCACAGCCGCATGTGGTTTAGCATCAAAAGGCGTCGGTTTACAAGTGGGACTCTTCATCTCTTCCACACTGTGAAGCTGCTGAGGCGCTTACCAAAGGGGTCTGAGATGAAACCGGTTAGTTCGCGCAAAACAACACAAGACTTACGCAGCCCGACAACGTGCCTCAGGCCATGACAGCTGACAAAATGGAGTTGACACGGGGAATGCCCCGGACAGCACACTTGCTGCAAGGAAACGAGGCTTGCGCAACATTAATGGCAGATGCTGCTTGACACCAAAGCTCATTCTTGACGCTTATACTTGGCCAAAGTCCCAGACAGTTCGTGAGAACAATGCACCACCAAATATCCCTCTATGGACACTACAGGATTTTCCGAGTTGTTGTTGCAAGAGGCCTACACTGCCCGAGGGGGTCTCGAACATTGCTCTAGTATACAAAAATATATTTATGCCGATCCGACAGTCACTGGGTGACCTTGTGGGAAATCGTTGGGTCGAGGCCGGAGATAGAACTGAGATTCTAGTTCTTTTCTAGTCTCTAGATTCTAGCTCTTGAGATTCTAGTTCTAGATTCTAGATAGTTCTTTACAAGCTCACTATTTGCTGGCGAAGTTGCAGTGAGAGCCTTCTGGAAGAAAAATCGCCGAAATCGGAGTTTTTTGTTTTTAGCGAGGTTGCTGTCTGGCCTAGTGGTTTCAATATCGCTTGTTATTGGGCCAGATCGTACAGGACTATGGATGTCCCCTCGCGCTCACTTCTGCCGTTCCCTGGATTCGCACCTACGTACAGCGCCGTTACTAGCGCCCCTTTTCGTGCGATGGGTTTCACGTGATGTTAGTGTTTTTAAGGCTGCAACGGCGTAACGTAGCGGGAGACCCCGCCCCCTGATGCCGGCAGTAGCGCTTCCCTTGTCTCCGAGGCGCCCATGGCCGCGCAGGTTGTCAGGCATACCTCAAGTTTGACACAAGTTTATTTGAAGGTGTGAGGCAACTTTTGTGATACATGTACCACATGTCTTCCAAACCTAGCATTTTCCATCCCACCGTGATGCATAGGACTGTGCTAGAATGGGGCTAAAAGGAGGTTTGAGCGGCAGTGAGTGTAAAGAGGGGCACCTGGTCGTTGGTGGAGGGGGGGGGGGGCGGGAAGGGAAAGGGAATTTGGCCTGGTGTGGGAGCATTTCTCTCAACCTAAAAAAAATCGCGCCCGGCCTGGGCTTTTTAACCCCAGTCCGGCCCGGCCCGGCCTGGGGTTAGTAGCACGCTAGTAACATACACCATTTACACGGCAGAGGTTTCTCTTTTTTAACCCCAGTCCGGCCCGGCCCGGCCTGGGGTTGGTAGCACGCTAGTAACATACACCATTTACACGGCAGAGGTTTCTCTTTTTTTAACCCCAGGCCGGCCCGGCCCGGCCTGGGGTTAGTAGCACGCTAGCAGCATACACCATTTACACGGCAGAGGTTTCTCTTTTTAACCCCAGGCCGGCCCGGCCCGGCCTGGGTTAGTAGCACGCTAGCAACATACACCATTTACACGGCAGAGGTTTCCTTTTTTAACCCCAGCCGGCCCGGCCCGGCCTGGGGTTAGTAGCACGCTAGCAACATACACCATTTACACGGCAGAGGTTTCTCTTTTTTTAACCCCAGGCCGGCCCGGCCCGGCCTGGGGTTAGTAGCACGCTAGCGACATACACCATTTACACGGCAGAGGTTTCTCTTTTTTAACCCCAGTCCAGCCCGGCCCGGCCTGGGGTTAGTAGCACGCTAGCAACATACACCATTTACACGGCAGAGGTTTCTCTTTTTTAACCCCAGTCCAGCCCGGCCCGGCCTGGGGTTAGTAGCACGCTAGCTACATACACCATTTACACGGCAGAGGTTTCTCTTTTTTAACCCCAGTCCAGCCCGGCCCGGCCTGGGGTTAGTAGCACGCTAGCAGCACACACCATTTACACGGCAGAGGTTTCTCTTTTTTAACCCCAGTCCGGCCCGGCCCGGCCTGGGGTTAGTAGCACGCTAGCGACATACACCATTTACACGGCAGAGGTTTCTCTTTTTTAACCCCAGTCCGGCCCGGCCCGGCCTGGGGTTAGTAGCACGCTAGCAACATACACCATTTACACGGCAGAGGTTTCTCTTTTTTAACCCCAGTCCGGCCCGGCCCGGCCTGGGGTTAGTAGCACGCTAGCGACATACACCATTTACACGGCAGAGGTTTCTCTTTTTTAACCCCAGTCCGGCCCGGCCCGGCCTGGGGTTAGTAGCACGCTAGCAGCATACACCATTTACACGGCAGAGGTTTCTCTTTTTTCGGCACCCTTGCGGGGCAGTCTTGACCATACACTTCCTGTCAGACACCCCAGAGCCCCGTCCTTCATGAGCCAATGAGAGCCCATGCCTTACTTCGGGGTAATCCCATTCCTTACCAATGACGTCACGACTCAAGCCCATTCCTTACTCGACTGACAGGCAATGTAAGCAGGTTTGCTTACAAGCAAGTCGGCGGCACTGACATAACAACGCATAGCAACGGCCGATGTGCTGTTTTCGATAATGAGGCATATAGCTACAGATCACTCGCCAGTATTGGGAATAGTTATTTAACTGTTATTCAAATGATGTTCACGCGCCCCATCCCTGCGCGCTATTTGTCTCCGTGGGCTTGGATCAGCTGATTTCACGTGTGCCCATATTCGGACTGAAGGCGTTTTCCACTGGCGCGTATCTGTGACGTCACCTCAGTGGGCGGAGCTGGGGTCGTGAGTCAATTGCGAATGAGTTGGACTCTGATGGCACCCCTGGCACACACCCGGGGCTACAGCTTAAACCCCTCGACGGGATGATCACTGCCCAGGTGCTGCCATCTCCTGGGAAGGACCGGTCGGGGGGAAAGCCCGCCCCGTGTCAGAACTGAACCAAATGCCTCGCACCAACCAGTGAAGCCCCAACTTTTCTCCAGCTTAACTGCATGCTGCCTTTCAAGCATGTAGCGTAATTTGATCTTTACCATGTGGGACCTTTTCTAGCATGCATGTTCTAGCTGCGGTTCGCACTGACTTCATTGCTGTCAGCTGGGTGTCCCGCTCCACCGCCGCTGCCGACATTCCGGGAAGCTGTGCTTCCCCGCGCGCCCTGCGTCACAGCCACGCCGCAGCAGCTGGCTGACCAGACCGAGCTGCGGCACCCGGCCCACGCAGCGTGACAGAACAGTGCCGATCACATGTTCACATGTGATCCCATGTTCACACACATGATCACATGCTCACATGATCACATGATCACATGTTGGGCTGGCAGGGCGGCCGGTTCTACTTCATCGAGCACGTGGCGGCGCGCGAGGGCACGTGGCGGCGCACGTTCCAAGAGCTGTTCACCAGCAGCGGCCTGTCGCAGTTCTTCTGCCACGGCTGTCGACCAAACAGCCAGCCCCTGCAGGTCGGTGACCCGGCTGCCGTCAGGTCAGTGACGCGATCACCGGCGGCAAGCTGGGATTCAGATGGCTGATCGCTGTCTCGGTGACTTACTCACCTGCTGGCACCACCAGCTGAACGACTTCTCACACCAGGAAAATGAGCGGTGTGGCTTATCATGTGCGATGAACCTGTTTCTATACACTTTCCTTAGGGACTTCAAGACACACGTTCGCAGCGCCGTCTATAAAGGAGAACAGTAACTAAGGCACCAAATGCAATTTTCCCGCCGCTGAGACCTGTGGATCGGTGCTATACGCATCTAAACCGACCACCGGGAAGGTTGCTGTCATATAGAATCAACCCGTGTCCCACAGACCTTACCCCACCGGCTTCTCTGCCTCTCAGCCAATGTTGCACAGCCGTATCAAATGTCTTCTGACTGGCAGACGTTTCACTTTATCTACAAGTGGAAACTGGATGTACAAAGAGACTTTGTTCAGATATGTAAACGGATAGAAAGGACGTGCTAAAAAGACCTCTAGGGGTGAATTTGCTTTTTGAGCATAATAGAGTAGTTCTTTCGGACAATATTAAGTCAGTAATTCGGCACTATATGCCGTTAAAGAATGGCTATCTGCCGTCAGCAAAATGACCTAGGGAACTGCAGCCATGTTGTGTCCGCGTCACCTCCATACAAACTTCTTAAAAGCGGCAGCCATCCACTCTCCCTTTCCATTTGCAATTCCCCCTCCCCCCTCCCTCCCTCCCCCTTTCTTACTCAACGCCAGCCACGTCTCTCCGTGGCGACCCGCAGGCGACCGGCCCTGAGCGGGCGTGCCGGCCCTGGCAGGAACCGAGGCTCGAAGCTGGGACCACACTTGTCGGATGCCGAGATCAGGGGACGGGGGAGGGGGCGATGGTAGCCCTGAGGCAGCAACTTTGACGCCCTCATCCACACATATCTTATCAAGGGGTCGAAATAGTTCACAACGGAGCGGCCAATCCGTGTCACTGAGTTTATTGTTTATTGGGTTTTACGGGCCCGTGAACTGCAATGGTTATTTGCGCCCCGAGCGGCACAGGGCTGCAGACTGCCGGCCGCACGATACCCTCGTGAGCAGCTGCAGACTGCCGGCCGCACGATACCCTCGTGAGCAGCTGCGGACTGCCGGCCGCACGATACCCTCGTGAGCAGCTGCAGACTGCCGGCCGCACAATGCCCTCGTACCCAGCTGCAGACTGCCGGTGGCATTATACCCTCGTACCCAGCTGCAGACTGCCGGTGGCATGATACCTTCGTACACAGCTGCAGACTGCCGGTGGCACGATGCCCTCGTACACAGCAGCAGACTGCCGGTGGCACGATGCCCTCGTACACAGCCGCAGACTGCCGGTGGCACGATACCCTCGTACACAGCTGCAGACTGCCGGTGGCATGACACCCTTGTACCCAGCTGCAGACTGCCGGTGGCATGACACCCTTGTACCCAGCTGCAGGCTGCCGGTGGCATGATACCCTCGTACACAGCTGCAGACTGCCGGTGGCACGATGCCCTCGTACACCGCGCGCGCACAGACCGCAGAGAGAAAGTGCAGGCAGACAATGTCTACAATGTAAGGGTGGAACGCACACCACATGAGCACATGCGCAAAAATGCAATTCGGTGGAACATGCCCGCTGTTGAGACGACCAAGTTTTGAGGCACTCACAAATCTTACTGTTCGTCGTAACTTATGTGACATATCCACCGGGGGGTCTTGTGCCGAGCCGACACAGGGGCCGACCTCTTCGGAGTATGTGCGGGCTCTCGGCCTGGGGCTCCTATCAGGGATCATTTAAGCCTGCTCGTGGTTGGTGCGTGTACCGACTAAGCCGGGCGCTTTCTATCTACTTACGCAGCTGAAATAAAACCCATTTGCGCCTTCAGCTTTCTTTTTGGGAAAATTGAGACGGTCCGTCAGGTAGAAGGCATCCGGCATGTAATAATCCGCGTTTCGAGCCGATCTGCAACGTTCAACAGTCAGGGAACTTGAGAGTTGTGCTTGGGCTGCTCTTCCGCTCAAAAGATGGCGTTGAGAACGGTTGTTTGAAAATCGTAACGGAAAGTGCAGACAAACGGCCTGATTATGCACCCTAAAGCTACACAGATAGTTTCTGTGGTCAATCAGCACATGACGGGTCTAAGCACGACACTTAACAAACAATAAAAATGTTTTTATACTTAATTTGTGAGATTTTAACGAAAAATATGCACAAGTGCCATCGAAAACAGCCAATGGCCACCTCCAGCCTTGAATTAAGAAAACACGCAATTTCAGATCAGTTTGTGATGATATAGCGCCCCTTTATTTTACTATTACCCTAAATCTGTTCTTGCTACATGACCTTATGCGTACCACACAACCGATGACCGTAGATTTTAAGACAGAGACGGAACTGTTGGTCAGTTTCAAACTCAGTATATTTTTTTATTGCACTGCGCGCAACAACACCGCGCACCGTGAACACAACCCATTTTACGAAAGATCGCTAGGAAAGGTATCCGCCCCGCAGCTCCGTCGGCTAGGACGTCTGCCTTCTTAACCTGCCTGTACCGGCTTGGCTGGATTCGAGTCGCTCTGGCGCCCGCTTTTTGCCCCTAGCTGGGATGGCCTGCGGCCGATGACTGTCTCAACAGAGGCCAGAGAGCGAGGTGGGACTGTGCCGAGCATTGCGATGCAATTTACGCCACAAAATGTCGCTTAAAAATTCTGCTTTGTTCGCGATTTTTTTCTCACAAAATTCTGTCTGTTCACAATTTATAACTCTCGCCACAACGTTATGCCCTTTAACTGGAACTTCACGATCGAGTGAGGGGACCAGGGTCCACACCGCAACACTGCTATGCGTGAACTCTTATCCCAGAACCTCATCCGATCAGGATATACGGGCCAAAGTTGTGTAAAAATGAAAATGATTCAGCTGTGATGAATGGGAAACAAATGCATGCACACATATATATCTATATCTATCTATCTATCTATCTATCTATCTATCTATCTATCTATCTATATATATATATAGATATATATATATATATATATATCTATCTATCTATCTATATCTATATATATATATATATATAAATGGAAAAAATTCAGCTATTATTATATCACAGGGTGTACATGCACGCGTTCCATGTTGAGGATAGACCCTGATCTCTTCTGTTTATAATAGCGCGTGCAAAAACACCTCCACCAGGAAGGTCGCGATTGACAAAACGCTTTCAGCGGCTGACCATTCACGCGTCCATGCGGTGCCGGCCCAACTGCCCTATAGGAACTGCACTAATCGCGGCTTGTGTTATTATGCTCCCAGGCGATACAGGAGGCGGGGTTCAAGAGCGTCGAGTGGAGCTCCGAGTTCCTGAAGCCACCAGGCCAGACTTACTACAGCATCTTCAACCCCGTCTTGTTCGGTGTTGCCACCAAGTGATGACACGGTTGCAGTCGAAGGGAGGATTCCGTTGTTCAGTTTAATTCAGTTCTTTATATTCGCGAATCACTCCAGCAAGTGGCTTATTGTTTGATTCGGTACAATTACAACAGCAGATTGAATGTAATAGTACAACCTGACAGCAACGCGACCACATTACATGGTGTGGCATGGCGCGGGTCAAGTTATTCGCATGTTATCAACTATCCAGTTGTTCACACACCTTCGTCAAAACAAAAATCATTAAATAAAACTGGAAACATACAAAATATGACTCGACAACATATGTTACGCCACAGCAAGCAAGCCATGGTTATACAAGGGGATCGCCTAAAACCTCTAGCCTCGTGCGAAACCCATTGCGGGTGCGAGAGGCGGCGATGGTCGGCGGCGGACGGCTCCAGGATCAGGCTGCCTGATACGAGGAAGCCCTGCCTGCCCCGACAGGCGGAGGGCCGACAGATCAGGAGGGGCGCCCATCGCTGCCGCCTGGGTGGCACGCTGACGTACAGCGGCACGTGGGGTGAGCAGGGACCGGTTCATCACTGGAGCCTGCGGGTCATTAAGGGCTCCGAATACAGCGAGACCGTCACGGTGGTTGACATGGTCACTAACACCGCGCCAGCCCAGCGCTAGAACAGTCGCCGCAATTCGATCTCGCTGACGAGCATCGGTGACGATCCTGGTCCCAAAGTTCATCAACAAGGAAAATAGCTTGTCACCTGGCCCCAGGGCTTATCAAACTTTACGTGAAAGTCTCTTCATTATTTTGTTCAGGTCTTGTGCAATTACCAAGACCCTTGCCTAAATCGCGTGGGCTACGTCAAACACGTACCCATAGCGCTCCGATGGTTGTTTAAATGTCACCAGCTGCCAGTAATGCCAGGCATGCCGATGCCAGGCATGCTGATGCCAGGCATGATGATGCCGGACACGATGATACCAGGCATGATGATGCCGGGCATGATGATGCCAGGCATGATGATGCCAGGCATGTGCCGATGTGGTCGGCTCTTGGTCTGCGTTCGGCCTGCCCCGAGGAACGATGCGTGCGCGCCCAGGCCCGCTGACTTGATTTCAGGGGTCTGCCGATCCGCGTGGAGTGAACGGTTTGTGGCCTGGTGTGTGCAGGGTGTAGTGTTGTGTGACCTGGTGTGTGCTGTATGTGATATTGTGTGACCTGGTGTGAGCAGTGCGTAGTGTTGTGTGGCCTGGTGTGCGCAGCGTGTAGTGTTGTGTGACCTGGCGTGTGCTGTGTGTTGTGTTGTTGCCGTGTGCGGTGTTACGTGATACGGTGTAGGCTGTGTGCGGCGTTGTGTAGCCTGTTGTGTGCTGTACGCGGTGCTGTTGCTGTATGCAGTGCTATGTGACCTGGCACGTGCTGTGTGCGGTGTTGTGTGACACGGTATATATTGTGTGCGGTGTTGTGTCATATGGTGTATGCCATGTGCGGCGTTGTGTAG